AAAAACCCAGATTTACCTTTTTTTTACCTGTTTTTTTTCTTGTTGCCATTCATATAAATATCCTGATGTGAGAACTTAGTATATGTTTGATTGCTTTTTGGTAAAAAAAAAAAAAGTCTGTTTTGAATTTCTAGCCCCTTCTGGAGAAAACTCCTCCGGCTATCGCTGCTTAGAACATAGAACCGCTTCCTGCTGATGAATCTACCTGTTCCAGTGACACCGTTTGGTCCAGCGGACCAGAATCAGCAGGTGAACCGAGCTGAAACCTGATGACCGACACAGGCGGGAGGGTTTGGCTACTTTTGCTGAAGTGAAACTATTTCGGACATTCCTGGGAGCTGATAAACCCTGAAGAGGAGGAGGAAGAAATGGGAGGAGACAGATAGGTTTCTCTGCAGCTGGAAATCAACTGGTTCCTGGAAACAATCAGGTCCAACTGGATCAGAACTCTGTAACCCGGTTCTCTCTTCGCGCTCCAGCCCTACAGGGTCCATTAGAACCATCTGTCGGTGAATCAAGCTTCCTAAAACCTTCTGATTCCTGCTCTTCATCCCAGAGTTCTGGTAAAGAACTAGAACCGCTCTAACCCAGGTTCAGATTCTGGTTCTGGTTGTGTTCCACCTCACAGACTTAAGCTGTTTGGTCACCAGGACCTAAGGTCTTCAGCACGGTGGTGGCAGCATCATGCTGCGTTAAAGGTGGGCGACCAGTCAGCAGACAGATGGGACCCAGTTAAACGTTCCAACTGGAGACGGACTGAGGCAGCTTTTAAAGGCTGACACCGATCATAGGTTCAACTTTGAGTGATTTCCTTCCTTCTTTTACAGGATTAAAAGACCAAATGCTGATAGAATTAGACAAATAGAAACAGTTATTGACAAATCCGTCTAAATATTAATACCAGCTGTGATTCTAAAGCTGCTGAACCTGATGAGAAATCTGCAAACGCGTACCGGCTGATGCAGATATGGATTAATCTAATCCTTTAACAAACCTGCAAACATTCATACGGAGGGTTCAGCATAAAATCAACATTAAATGGGTTTTAGAAGGTCTAGAAGCACTAGATCTATACCCAGCCATTCAGCATAGATCCTGCTGCACGGCTCCACATCTTATTTTGGCATTTGACCAATTAGATGAACCCTTGGATGATAGATTACCTGCTGGAAATTAGATAGGGAAAAAAAGATTAAAAGCTAATTGAAAAGTTAAAAAGTTAATAAGCCTAGTTAATTATATTTAGGTTTATAAACTAAAACATGTTAAGTGCCAGTATCAGCATTAATGCCACTAAGGTTATGTGCTTCTTTCACTCTCATTTTTTCATTAATTTCTTCTAGAAGCATTTAATTATTTTTCTTAATATATTTAGGAAGTTGTTTCGTTTCTTCTTATTACATCGACATTAACTTTTGGCATCAAAATATCCTTATTTTTTGACTGTTCTAAAGATAATAAGCTTTCTGCCTGGATTCCAGTAACACTATTAGCTGGAAATGTTGATTTTCAAAGTATTTCACTGATGCTTAATAACAGGAAACTCTCAGAACTTCTTTAGAGAGAATCGATTCTGTACGGAAGCCCAGAGCGGTCAATACTTTTTCTCATTATCTAAAAATAACAAAGCCGTTTTCTTGTGATAGCGAGATGATTTTATGTGTTAAAACTAATTACGTCCTTCAATACCACAACAGCGGGAGAGGATTTAGAAGCCTTCAAAATTGGGCATAAATTAAAAAATATCCCACTGCTGCGAGGATAACCAGCGCTTTAGGCATGGCAGCGTATGTGTAAAGGTCTGGTTATCCTCCTGCAGCAGCGTGTCGCAGATATGTTTGATTTCTGCCCAATATGGAAGCGTGGTCGCTATGTTATTCCGCGCCACAACACCAGAGGGCCAATCAGGGACTAGCCTAGATTAGGGTTGTCAAAAGTATCGATACTGAAACGTTGTATCCGGATACAACACTCATTTTCAAAAGTATCGATACAGCCATCTAAAGTGCAGAATAATGGAAAATGCACTTCCAGAACACTGTGTGATTGAATAATTCTGTGCATTTTTCAGTTTCAGACTTTTTCTGTAACAGGTGCAGCTGCTGAGAATTATTTTTGTTTAACTGCTTTGGCTAGTGTCACTGTTATGTCTGCAAAACATAGACAAGGAAGGAACACTTCATTTTAATTTTGTAAGTTTTTTATCAAGTTTGCTTAATATTGTGCCCAGCAAACAACCTCAAATATTATTCTTATTGTTTTTTATTTATTTATTGTATTTTTTTAGTAATGAAAATATTTCTGTTGAATTTTAGAGTCTTTGTTTTTATCCTTGTGGTATCGAAAAGGGTATCGAGTATCGAATATTTTACTTAGTATCGAGTTGAAAAGTTTAGTATCGTGACAACCCTAGTCTAGATACGGCCTAGATGGAAGTGGGGGCAAGTTTGTGCGACAACGGAGGGACATGAGGGCCAAAAAGAGCGGGGATCCAGGTGGAAAAAGGGTCCCAGCGTTCTCACGCAGCTCGCTCTGCTAGCTGCTCCATCTTTACGAGTCGTTTTCCACAATGGCGGTCAGACAAACAGAACAAGGTGGTAAGGAACCCAACAGGAAATACGCATAGAGTTTCTGAGCATAAACCAGGCTTAAGTCTGTAAATAATCTTGTGCTCAACTTTTATTGAAACAAGACGTTGGTTTGATGATTTGCTTCCACTTCTGATTCCTAAGCCATCAGATATGCCTCCAGGTGTTTCACTGTAACAGCTGCATTAACCCCTAAAATGAGTCCAGATTAAGGATGTTCATCAAAAAACAGTCAGATTTGTTTCCATTTAATCCAATCCACCGCCTGACAATAAGTGAAAAGAAAGAGGAAACTAAAAAACTGATTATTTGCGAACACGCGGTACGGCGACTGGACAACTACGACCCCGCAGGCATGGATGGACTGGGAATCCTGGGCTGCTGGCCGGCCTGATCATTACTCTGACAGGTTAGTCACCTCATTATCTAGATAACGGTATTCTAGAGATAACAAGATAGTTATCTCATTATCTCGAAAAGGCAAAGGAAAAAATAAGGCCGCTCTCGGCTTCCATAAATTCTGTGTTTGTCAACTTTAATGCTAATTTAATAATATAAATAAAGAGTTTCTGGTTTATATACCAACAATTTAAATAATAATTAGTAAAGATAATCCCGTTGGGAGAATCACTGGGAAATTCTTGTAGAATTACGTCTGCAGGTAAACTAATTAAACTACACCGGAAAAAATCGAAATCTAGATAAGTCATTTTTTCTTAAAATAAGTGCATTTGTTCTTGGATTGAGGAAGTAAAAGAGACATTTTGCCAATGGAACGAGATAATTTACATTTAAAATAAGAAAACATAATTGAATTGTCTTATTTCAAGTGCATATTATCTAATTATCTTATTTTAAGAGTAAAAATACTCATTCCATTGGCAAACTATCTAACTTACCTCCTCAAATTAAGGGTAAACACACTTAATCTAAAAATGTTTTACTTATTTCTAGATCGTCTTTCCAGTGTAAGGGTGCCTAAAGGGGGCGGAGCTAGAGGGTGGGCATGGACACCTCTTGGCCACCCTCTAGCTCCACCCCTGCTGTAAATCCTGATATTTTTCCGACAGCTCTGTTTGCTTTATTTCTCTAAGCAGGGACGATGTTTACGAACGAACGCATCGATCTCCCAAAGACAGGAAGTGATGAAAGCAGATTAAATCCTGAAAACAAATAACTGGGTTTATTGAGACACTCACTCCCAACGGGGGAAACATCATTACTGTAAATCAGGATTATTATAGAAACAGAATGAATAGATCTGCCCTTTCATTGGGCCTATATCAGTTTGTGTCCATGACGATGATGATGATGATGAGTCTACCTTCCTCTTTATTCTGAGATAATTCTGCCTGTTTCAGATTTAAAAACGACGACGCGTGACCCGAACAGCGGTACCACAGAACCGAACCATTAAAGGATCACAGCCAGGCTCTCTGCTGGGGTTAAAGGTCAAACTCTCTGATGTCATCGGTCCAGAACCTTTCCGTCCCCCAGGGACAGGACCCGAAAGAACCCGGCGCCAAGCAGAGAAACTCTACGACTGATCCGACCCAGAGCCTGAGGCTGGCTGGCAGAGGACAGGCGTCCCTCTGTCCACACAGAGACATTTGAGAGGACAGAACTTACGTCTGGAGTCTTTGATGGTTTTCAGGGCTGACTGGAGCCGGTCCAACATCATCCAAAGTCCAGAACGCAGACAGCAAAGGAGAAGCAATCAGAAACCCAACTTCCTCCCGGTCCACCTGTCTCCGTCTCTCCGTCTGTCTCTGTGTCCCTCTGAGGACGGCTGTACCTCCAGCAGCAGGCGAGTCGCTGTGAGTTTGAGCAGAGAGAGGAGCAGCAGGAGGGGGCGGAGCCACAGCTGGGGGGCGGGATGTGCCGTCCGCGGTGCGTTCAGGCGCTGTCTGTGAGTGTGGGTCCCCTTGCTGACGGGTTGGTTCCATCCTGCTGAGATGACTGTGGAGACGCTGCCTCCTGGTGGCGGCGCCGCCTCTTAACAAGGACTTTATGATAGGCGGTACCAGATTGAGCCGGTTTAATAATCAGAACCGGTCCTGAGCGGACTGAACCTGAAGGCTCCATCAGTTTCGTTCTTTATTGATTCTTTCTGCTTTTTATTCTCCAGATTTTAGCTTTTTTTTTTTTTTTTTAGAACTTTAAATCCAGCAGAACCGAACAGAACCCTCCTCTGGGAGCCCAGAACCAATGTTCTACCAATACGGAACCGCAGAGCAGAACTGCTCAGAAAGCTGATTCATGCTTTTAATATTGAGCTTCGGATCATTTCCGGGTCAATCAGAACCATCAGAACTTCTCTGTCTGTGAAGACGAACAGATTTCTCACTCACCTCCGCTCACTTCCTGAGACGCGATGACGAATCCAAAGCCTTCCCCCGGCCGCCTCCTCAGCTCCACCTCCACCATCTTGGCTCCTGCTCGGCCATCTTTGGCCCTGGCTCCTGAAGCTCCGCCCCCAGGGGCCGGCCCCGCGCTGTCCTCCACACCCTGCAGGTCGCGGGGCTCCAGGGTCAGGGTCACCGGAACCGAATCCAGGAAGCTGGTGCTCTGGATGAGGGCGGAGGCCGAGGGGCCGTTTGGAGTCTGAGCAGGAGGGGCCCCTGGAAGACAAAGAGCAGGCCCCCCATTGGAGCAGGAGGACATCTGATGAACCCAGCATGTTCTGCTTCTTACCCTGCAGCTTCAGTTTGGAACCATAAACTGATTTACCTTTGTGGGCCCCTGACGGTAGCAGCTGGCTCTCCTGTGGACCCTCAGGGGCCAAGCCGGCCTGGCTGAGGGGGGGGACGCCCCCCAGAGAGGCACCTGTGGACGGGGAAGGCAGCTCAGTGGAGGACTGAGTGGTCAGGATGTGGGGGGAGGACAGCGGCTTGCAGAGGTTTGGCGTAACGAGGGGGGAGGAGACGGGACCTGGGGGAGGACAGAGACAGCGGGACCGGTTCTGACATTCTGATACCGGGTACAGGAACCAAGCTTACTGGTTCCACTGCTGGTTTAACTGGTTATTACAGGGACAGAACCCTGGGAAGGCCTGCTTACCTCCTCTGTGGACCAGCAGGACCACCTCTCCTTGTTTGGTGTGTTCCTGCAGGACTCTCTGGACCTGGAAAACAA